CTTTTAAACTACTCCAATCAAAAACATCATTAGTTTRTGTAAATACTATTTCAAAAATCTTTACATTRCTATTAGTTTCACATAACACATTTATTCTAGCAGGGACGTTTTTATATTCTTGCAGAAAGTGGGCCAGACTGCACTGGAAGCGCTACAGCTAGCTGCCGATACCGTTCACACTTGCAATTCTGTGTATCATGCAAAATTGATGGTAGTATAAATCTGGTTAGTAATAAAGTTTACTTTTCCTAACTGTATCATCATTCAAATATTTATCTAGAACAGGTTAGATATTTACTATTCCACAGAACCCCACTTCTWAAGRGCTTAATTTTCTCTTCAAATGGTTGGTCTTACCTGAACTGATCAGCACAAATCTTCTCTGTGTATGTTTATTGGAAGAGGTGTTATCAGGCAGGTGTTCAACCTGTACTTTGAAATTGTATAAAAGCAGTTTATACATTGCTCCTCAGCAAGAAACACCTCAGCTTATTAAAATCTTGAATATTTTTCATTTTAAATCGAGCGGAGTTCAAAATTTTAAAAGTTGAAGAGACACACAGCTAAACATTATTTCCAAAAGGTGGAAAATAAATAGTGAACGGCTGAACTCGAGTTTCAAAATTTGAGTACAAAAAGTTTGATTTTTTGTTATTTTTTGGGGGGGAAATGTTTGAAATAGAAGTGAAACTGTCCCAGCCAAGACTCTGTTATTGAACAAATGGAAAAGAGCTCCTTGTCCCTCAGAGACTCAGTAGRCAAAATGTAGCTTATGGAGTTTAAACAGGTGAACACATGCCGGTGCACTCACCACTGTTTGAGCTGAATGACTAAATGTCAAACTGACTTTGTATCTTCAACCACATTTTACTTCAGCAGCTACAGGGTCAGAACCAGACTCCTCTGTGAACAATCCTCTGCAGATAACCTGACTATGTTTGGATCCTGACGCACCGAGCTGACACTTTGGCACATCTGGCCTTTTCAGCACGCCTGGATCACAAAGGGGATCAGAGCTCCTGTGAAGCACAGATTTTATCCATTTAAGGCAGCTTCTGCTTTCTTCTTCCACCAGAAACACGCTGATCTCAGCAGGTGCAGTTTTTTTTTGACCTGGCTGCCTTTTACCTCTCTTTTTTTCAAATTATTGCATTTTATCAGATATGAGTTATCCATACAAAACATCACGTTTATTCCCATAAGCTGAACTTTTTTGTGGCAAGAAACTCCTCAATGTAAAGTGAACATTAGAACAGCTGTAGCATAAAGATCACCTTTCACAAAAACATGACTCACATACTCTACATGCACCGGGCATATTAAAGGGTATTCTATTTATACGCAGAGAAAAAGGATGAACAAGTAATACAATAATGCAAACATTAAAAAAACTTTCCTAAGGGTATTGGTTGGAGGAATTGACCTAAAAGACAGAAATACATCTGGCTGAACTTTTTCTACCTTTCCCAGCGTACCTGCAGCATGTTTTCAGTTACACGTGAGCWGAGAGGAGAGCGTGCCACAGCTGAAGAATGTAGCACCCCGAGCTATAATTAAATACAAGCTTTTTTACCAGACAACACGTCTAACTTTGGGGGCTTCACTCTCAAGTTTTTCTTCCTTCATCTCATGTAAAACTGAAAAGGTCTGAATAGCAAATCAAACTTTTTAACAAAGTAGATTTATTTTTTACCTGAGTTAAATGCCCAACTTGCTGTGAGGAATCCAAGGTTAATCTGAGATGAGAGATTATTCCACAGACAAAAAAAATGTAGAGAGGAAAAAAATCAATCTACAAAACACGGACAGGGTTTGGATAGTATGAAAAGACAAAGATCTGCTTTGATTTGATGTGGTGAGATGCATGTGTGTGTGAGTGTGTGTGTGGACCAACAGGAGGAGTGTGCTGTGAGTTGGTGCAAGGAGTGTGTGTGTGTGTGTGTGAGTTTTGGCGTGCAGAGGATCGGGTGTGTTTCAGTTCACACAAGCAGCAGCTTATTGTAGGGGGCGGAGCCAGACAACAGGAGCTCCCCACACCTGGCTGAAGCTCCACCCACCTTATCTGTTCATGCCTGAGCTCTGACCCCTCAGTTCCCCCTCCCCCCTCTTCTCTTTCTTCCACAGCTGCAATTTTTTCTAAGCCTCCAGCTTTGTTTTCCTCATTCCTGGTCTAACTCGTCTCTGACCTCTTCATACCGACCGGTTGGACTTTTTCATATCCTCCGTATCGGTCCACAAGACTTCCAACCCTGTAATTTCCTCTCGTATTTACTGCGTCCTCCCCCTCCTCTCCGTTTTACGTGGCACAGTCTGCGTTAGGTTCTGAGTGAAAGTAGTAGTTAGGTTGTTAGTGGAGGTCTGCTGGCACAGTTCAACTTCTGAACATGCCCATAAAAAGAAATGAAGAGAAATCCCTCTCGCTCTGRTTTTACTTCTTTTCTCGTTTTTCACAGTCAGTAAAGGCAGAATGCTGAAAAGTTGGACCATTTGGTTTGGATTTTTGCTCTTTTTACTGTTCATATGGATGCTTGAGCAAAACTTTGCTGGGAAATAGATGCTAGGTTTCCCACTGATACGGTTAACAGCTGAAAAAGAACAAAAAGCAATTTTTAAATTTTATTTACTTATTTCTTTTACAAACCAAAAGCTTCTCATAAAGTCTTTTTTGGTCAAACATCAAAATAAAATTCCTACACAGCTAATTTTATGTCTTTGAAACAACTGAGCACATAGTAATAAAAGAAAAAAGTCACAATGACATTTGAACTTTTTTTTCTTGACACTGCTCATTATTTGATGTGAGTTCTGAATTTAATCCAACATTTATGCACAAACAATACCTTTTGCAGCCCTGCTTTGTTTTTTATAATCGCTTTAAAGATGTAAAGATTAAATGAGCATCAACATGTCAAATAAATGCTTGTCAACCTCGACAGATGTGTCTGAGTGACAGCTTTTCTTTGCATTTGTTGAGTGGAATCAGTGCCGCTTTCCTCAGCAGAGACTTTATCTTTATAACCACAGTCAAACACCTCAGGGTGTTTTTAAATCATGTGACTGAGTGTGGATGTGTGAACGCTGAGATTGAAAAGAAGTAGCCTGTAGGCACAGATTTAATGCTACTCCAGCAGGAAAATGCACAGTAAATACATCTCTGAGTACTGACAGCTGTACTGTGCATGCAGCCTGTCTCCAGCTCTGCTTTAAAATCAAATCAAATCTGAGCAGGAAGTAGAATATTATTGTTCACCTTTCATTGGTGTGGACCTAATTGAAGGGTCAGAGGTTATGTTACCCTTGTGTGCTTGAGGTCCATGTGGACCCGACTCAGTCACGTGCCTTCAGACTGCATTACAAAGCAATTATGARCAGGTCACTGTGCCTCCACATGCTTTGCTTGCAGGCAAATCCTGAGTCAGAAACCACACCCTGACTAAACACACCTGCAACAATATCTTTTATACAGAGCTGAAGTGGAYGTAAAACAGCTTTTATTTCATTTATAAAGTCTGCACGGTTGCTACTGCAGATCATAAGAACTCGTCTCCAGTTACAGAATAGTAGGTTTGAGCTTCACTGTCATGCCCTTTTTAAGCACAGGTGCTTCTGATGTTCCTCTGAAGGTTTAATATTTCTGTCCCACTGGAGCTGCAGTCACGTCCCAAATCCACTCCCCCAGTCTGAACACGCTCACTGTCTCCCTGGTGGGTCCAGTCTATGGGGATGTTTAAAAATTTAACAGTGTCTTGAAAGCATCCTACTCCCTTTGCTCCATGGAAATGAAACATCTCTCCTAAATGATATTTCTCTGGACACAATCTCACATGCAGCATCATGTCTTTGCACTGCACGTCTCATCTTTTCTGAGGTAAAATCCAGTTTCAATGTGTTTGTTTTTAAATCAAAACCAGAGCATGTTTTCTTGTAGCAGACTTGCATTTTCCCCGACACACAGCTGGATGGTGTGACACTGTTACTACACTGTCAGTAACTGACACAGAAAGCCTGAAGCGTCCCTCATTATGCACACATGGAGGAGAGCAGGGACATGTCACCGSTGGGAAACATGTGTGTATTTGTACATATGGTTCCCCTTTGAAATATTTTCTTCCACCCACATCTTATTCATATTACAGCCCTCTGTCTGAAAGAAGAGAGGGGTCAAGGGGGCACTTTCGGGACAGACAACACAACACACTCACAGTGACAGTGGCCAAAGCCATTGTGTGTGTGCACTGAGGAGAAAGGTCTTGGTGCTCGCATATCAATAGGGAGAATCACAATCCAGCTTTTTTTCTTTTCCGCCCCGCAATTTAGAGTTCTCAGTGAACAAAGTGATGAAACCTTCTAAAATGTTTGAAAGCTACACCCTTTCTGGACACACAAAACAAGCCTGAACCATGGAAATGATTCAGACTCAGACTGTGTGATTCACTCTGTAACGTCACAAATTCACAACCCTTAGAGMTGCCGGTGAACCATCAGAGGCCTTCAGCTCTCTGCAAGACGCCAATGCAACACTGACCTCTTCTGGTAGAACTGTTACACAATCACAACAAAGAACAGGATGGGCTCTAAAAATTAGGTTACACAATAATACAATAATAATAAACAACAAGTCTTCTGTTTAATAGCTATCAAATATTACCAGTGATCTACTGCGCTATTACGTATTTATAACAATGACTTCTATACAAAGTAGAAATAGCTCTTCTGCATTAGTCTACTTCCTGATGAAATGAATAAATATTTAAAGTATTGAGCTCTCCTGTGGCCTCCACTCTTCTCCAGCTGTGTGTAGGCTTCTGAGATGTTTTTAGATTGGTCACATAGCTTAGAGCTACATTAGGAGCTAATCCCTCCTCTCCACTCCAGCTGACCAAACCTCGTGTTTCCTGAGACATCTGACCTGGATAACTGCTGGATTACAGCTCACCAAGAGAAACCACCTTTGACACGCATGAGCAGATAAGCTCAATAAAAGTCATGGGAGCACTCACCGAGGTGTAGTTGGTCTTGCCCATGTTGTGGTTCTGGTTGTGGTTCAGGTTTTGGTTCTCCTGCTCCCTGCACTGCAGACCAGCCAGGTGTCTCTCCAGGGCTGCCCAGTCCATGGTGGGCAGCGGCTCTTCTTCTACCCCCTCCTCTTTGTACCCATGTGTCAGCCCTTCAGTCCCCCCGCTTCCTCCRTCTTCCCCACCTCCTCCACTCCCAGTGCCACTGCTGCGGCTCCCCCTGCCCTGACTTGAGCTGGGGTGGGTGAGTTTAGGAGTCCCTGTGCCTCCCTCGGGTGTGCCGGAGGCGTGGACCTGGTTTTTCCTGGGAAAAATCAGATTGCCATTCTGTTTCAGTTCAGCGGCTGACGGGGTGGCGGCGCGTCCTCCCGGGGCCGGCAGGGGAGGGACTGTCTTCACATCCTGGAATTCTTCTGCGAGGCTGCGTCCGTTCACTGCTTTCCTGTAGCCTTCGTCCAGGCTGGCGACGCTCACACCGCCATCACTGCTTTCRTCTTGGCCAGAAGATGGCTGCGGGGAGGCGTAGTCCTCGCCGTACTCGCTTTCCCACTCCTCTATCACCTTCTTCTTGTACTCTTGGTAGTCCTCGTCCTCCTCGTAGTCGTCTAAAGTGACCAGATCTGGGGAGGGGGAGGATTTGTAGTCCTCCAAGGTGGCCAAGTCAAGAGAAGGAGAGCATGGTGTGACCTTGTTGGAGTTGGACTCTGAGCTGGAGCGACTGGATGCATCACTCCCCAGGTCCATGCCATCCTCCCGATAATCCTGCAATCAGGAAAAAAAGAAGAACAGAGAGAAAGAATTAAGTCGAGGATAGGGTGGTGAAGACGCCATCGGTGGGCCGTAGTGCACGAAGAAGGAAGGAAAATAGGAAAATAAAAGGAGAATTGAGGGAAGTGTGTAATGTTGGATTAGTCACACCAGTGTTGTGGTTTGAGACAGTCGACTACAAAGCACTTCCTGACCAACAGGAACTTCCTTTTTTTTTGCTGCAGCTTTAGAATCACAAACGCTAAACTATGCTACCAGATAATTACATTTCCTTTGCATTCCTCTCTCCTCTGTAAATGCAAACATATGCGCTCGGATGGGCTTTTGCAACCGTCGACACCCACCCGTTTGAGTTTGTGCGACTGGAATGTGTCAGAATAATATCCCACCACCTACTGCTACATCTGCACAGCACTACAAGGACAGGACGGGGGAGTTGCGAGAGCTGGAAGTGACTGGCAGAGACAATGTTAATACACAATCCAGCAAACTGTGGCATGAACAGGTGAGTCGGGAGCTRTTCTCTGACCTTGACTGTGTTGCTCCTCTGAGAGCAGCTATCACCACCTGACTGATTAGTGCACAACTAATGAAAACGTCCCGTTGTTTACCCCCCCCCC